TGAGTGACCAGTCAGAGTCTCCAGGCTTGCCCAGACCAGGCAGGACCTTTAGGTCACCACAAAGGGGAGGGGAAACGCAGTGAGGAGGAGTGAGGGGACAGTGGGAGGGAGGGAAGGAAATGGGAGCTATGCTTGGTTGGGCCAACAGCTGGTGTGAAGGGGACTGTAGACAAGAGAGTTAATGGATGGAAATAGCACGGTCACTGTCACATCTTGTGTATATTATAGTTTTATATTAGAGAGAACTAGTTTATAAGAAGGCACAAAGCCATGAAATCTTAGGCCAAAGGGACCTCAGAACCCATTGAGTCTAAGTCATGAATACATCCTATTCAACAATTAGGCCTCCAGCCTGGATTTGAAGCCCTCCACTGAAGGGGGCCCCCCGATGGTCTCCAGAGGCAGCCCATTTTCTTTGTGGATGGCTGATTGTCCTGGAATCAAGCTTAAATTATCCTCTTTTCTGCTTCTGTTCTGCCCTCCGGGGCCAAGCAGAAGAAAGCTAATTCATTTTCCATGGGACAGTTCTTCAGATACTTGAAGACAGCTCTCATGTCCTGCCTGCCTCTTAAGGTTCTCTCCTCCAGGCTAAATGTTCCTGGTTCTTTGAACTGATCCTAAAATGACATGAATTTATAAGAGATTTCCTGAGCCGTGCTTCAATTTGTGATCCCATTAGATCAGGAAGCCTCATTTTAGCACTTAAAGGCTGAGTATTCATGAAGCGTAGGTAACCTTTTTAGTCTCTGGAGTGGGCTTAGTTTGACTGTGTGACTAAGAGTATCTAAGCCATAACATGGGACTGGTATCGGTACCTAGATGTGATATCAAACGCAGATAGAAAGAGGTCCCTGTGCCCCATGTTGACTTAGAAAATTATAAGTTATTTTTTCTTCTGTTGTGTTTTGTTTCCTCTTTCTGGTACTTCCTCCTGTTGGTTCTAATTCTTCCTTACAACATCACTAATGTGAAAATATGTTTAATAGGAATGTATATGTATAGCCTATATCAGATTGCACGCTGTGTTGGGGAGGGAGTTGGGGAGGGAGGGGGATAAAAATTTAGAACTCAAAAGCTTATGGAAGTGATTGTTGATAATCCAAAATAAATTAATTTAAAAAAAGGAAATTACAAGTTAACATTATGTTGCATTACACTTTTATTTATTTCGATAAATATTTCCCAGTTACATTTTAATCTAGTTCCGGCCACACTTGGGAGTTTTGTGGAAGGTGGCGTTTGACACCTCTGCCCTTGGGACAGCTTTGTGTGAATCTTGTGCCTTCTTTTCCCTTCTCCAGGCCCCCCCTTTCTTCCTTTCTTTTTTTTTTTGGCTAGGCAATGGGGTTAAGTGACTTGCCCAGGGTCACATAGCTAGTAAGTGTTATGTGTCTGAGGTTAGATTTGAACTCCGGTCCTCCTGAATCCAGGGCTGGTGCTCTATCCACTGCACCACCTAGCTGCCTCTTCCCCCCTCTTTCAAAGCTCAAATAAAGGAGAGGCAGCTTTTGAAGGGTAGAGACAATCACTAGATATCATCCTAAATGTTTTCTGCCAGATGCAGATCCAAATTTCTTCCTGTCAGTTTTTCTCCTGCCTGTTTGGACCTCGTGGCTACTATTTCTCGGTTTTCATGAGTTCTTCAGCTCCCAGCTTCTCTCCCTTCTCTCTCCCCTTGTCCAGAGACATCTTGCACCCTGGTCTTTTCCCTTTCTGATGACATTTTAGCACGGGACACCCCCTCTTGTTGTCTGCCTCCCCCAGCCTCACTTGACTTGGGAAGTGATTTGGATGCCCCGATTAAGCGTGAATAAACCTTCTACATCAGACTCGATGAAACAAGCACACTAAGTGCCCAGCCCGGGGCTGGATGTTGGTTTCAGACCTCCGGAGAATCTGTAAGAGGGTTCTAGCTCTTCACGGAGTAGCCGTAAGGATGTCAGCTTAGAGTCATGAGGTCCAGCTGAAATCCTACCTCTTATGACAATAGCGCTTCCATCTATCGATTATCTCTGGTTTATCCCATTTATATCGTATTTGTACATGGTTGTTTACGTATTGTCTTCCCCACTAGAACATTAGCTCTTCCAAGGCAGAGACTGTTTTGCCTTTCTTCATAGACACTGCATTCTCAGTTCTATAGAATTCTCATTCTGTATGCTGCATATTCAGCATGTAGCACAGGGCCCAGCATAGTTGTTATTGTTGCTCATTCATTTTTCAGTTGTGTCCTGTTTAGGGTTTTCTTGGCCAAGATACTGGAGTGGTTTCCTATTTCCTTTTCCAGCTCATTTTACAGATTAGGAAACTGAGGCAAACAAGGTTAAGTGACTTGCTCAGGGTTGCGCAGCTAGGTGGCGCAGTGGATACAGCACCGGCCCTGAACTCAGGAGGACCCCAGTTCAAAACCGACCTCAGACCAAACACTTGACACTTACTAGCTGTGTGACTTTGGGCAAGTCACTTAACCCCAATTGCCTAAAAAAAACCCCCCAAAACAAAAACAGATTTGAACTCACAAAGAGGAGTCTTCCTGACTCTAGAGCCAGCACTGTATCCACTGCAGCTGCCCTTCCTGGCACATATTAGGTACTTAATAAATGTTTGTCTTATGACAACACTAGGAGACAGTGGGACTTCAATTTCCTAAACTATAAAATGAAACCCCAGTCTGTTGTGTGGAGCCCTTGTGGTAGATCTATGGGAAAGACATAGACGAAGGTCAGGACCGATGAGCCTCTGTGGATGGGTTGTGATCTATGTCATGGATATCCTTGAGATCCCAGATCTAGTGGAGTGAGATGATGGCACTAAACTAGGTGGTCTCCGTGGACCCTTCAAGCTCTAGAAGCCCCTATATCCATGGGGGCAGGGCCCAGTTCTGGAGAGCTTGAAAGGCTGGAGAATTAAGTCGAGAAAGTTGCTTACTGATCTAGGAGTATGGGACCCAGTGTGGGGAGAGCATGTTGGCTCCCTGCAAGGACCAACGTGTTTTGTTCTTTTCCGCTCCCTTCTTCATTCATTGAGTGAAATTGATACCACCTACTTCTATATATGTGGGCATAGAGCACCAGGCCTGGAGTCAGGAAGATCCGAGTTCAAATCTGGCCTCAGACACTAGCTGTGTGACCCTGAGCAAGTCACTTAACCTTGTTTGCCTCACTTTTTCATCTGTAAGATGGAGAAAGAAATGGCAAAGCACTCTAGTATCTTTACCAAGAAAACCCCATGGACAAGTCTATGGGGTCATGAAGAGTCTGACACAACTAAGTGACTGAACAACAACGATCACGTATGTATAAGGCATGTGGGCCCCATAAAGATGAATAAGAGTGTCCCTGCTCTCGCAGAAGCTGCTATGTAGTAGGAAGGATGAGATAATTACATTATTGATACCTAGAAAGCCAGGAAGAATGGACTTAGGTCTGCAGGAGAAGGGCAAAGACAAAGTGGTCTGGAGGTTCAGAGGAGAGGGAGGTCACCTCTAGCTGAGAGCAGAACTGGAACAAGCTCCATGACAAAAGGACCAGCATTCAAGCTAGGCCCGGGAAGCATAGTGTTCTGCCAAGCGGAGGTGAGGAGGTGGAGGAAGGAAAAGGAGGTGAACAAAGGGTGGAGGTAGGAAAGTTTAGGGTGTGTTCTGGGAAGGGATAACAGGGTGTGCACCTGGACATTTGGCGCATTAGTAGAGGCCCTTGAATGCCAAAGGAATTTGAATTTAATTTGATGATCAAGGAGTTTTGTTACTGCAGTAACAAAGTAATCTGGATGTTGTTGCTGCCCGGAAGAGATGGGCACCTTCTTTGTCACCTGGGTCCGTAGATGTACCTTAATACACAGAATAGCCATGTTCCTTGAATAGACGATGGAATTATAAATGGTATCAGACCCTCCCAACTACTTGCATTTTTATACCTTGTATTTATTCTCTTTATATTCTCTCCATACTTATTGTACAAATGCATGTTTTTTTCTGCTGATAGACTATATGCTCCGTGAGGGCAGGGCCTTACCTTTTTGTCCTATCTCTAGCCCCCGGCATAGGACACGTAGGTACTGTCCATAGTAAGCATGGAACGATGTTGACTGCCTCCCTAAAGATCGGTGAAAAACCACAAATCCCAGCTCAGTGAAGTGGTCCCTGCCTCTGAGGAACTCCCATTTTTATGTCTAGGGAGACAAGATGAACACAGAAGAAACAGCTCAATAAAGGCTTAACCGTTTGTCATTATTAATTACTTCTGAATGGGGAGGTGGAGGGGAGAGTGGGGCTTTTTATTTAAAAGAAATTCACAGTAAATTTTTTCCTTAAATAAGAGTTTTTGGGGGGCAGGTTTGTTTGCTTGGTGGTGATGGTTGTTTGATAAAGGGATGAGTCCAACCCCTCCCCCATCCCTCTCCCAGTTTAATAGCATCGTAGGGTCGGTGCTGATCAGAATTGTCCTTCCTTTGGATCTTCGTCAATGCCCTGATTTCTGCCTCCTGATTCTTCCTGGCCCACATTTGCTCTCTTAGATGGATCTAGGAGACTGAAGCTTGAGGTCCCCCAAAGACACCAGCCTTCCTGCTTCTAGGGAGGGTCCCGTAGGAAGTGTCCCTTTCACAATTGGAGTCCATCTGGCACAATCCATATTTGAACAAGCTTCTCCTCTATGATAGAATTGCCAAGCACCATCTTGCCTTTGTTAAAGACCCTGGAGAAGGGAAGGATGAAGCAGCCCACTCCATTCTGGGCTACCTCTGATCACAAGGAAGTTTTCCTTGACATCAAGCCTAGAGTTGCCTCTCAGGTCATACCTTCTCCACTCCTCATTCAGCCCTCTGGGGCCAGGCAGAATAAGATGAAGCGCTTCTCCTTGGGACAGCCCTTCTGTTTTTCTCTTGTAAACACAAATCTTCCCGTACTGGATTTCCCTAAAGCAGGGCGTATGTACTCTCCCTTTACCTCTCCTCTTAAACCTAAATGGTATTTGATGAATCTCTTGTCTCCTTGGCTGCAGGATGCCCGCCAGAAATTCCGCTCTGTTCTGGTAGAAGCGACAGTGAAACTGGATGAACTGGTCAAGAAAATTGGCAAGGCCGTAGAGGACTCTAAGCCCTATTGGGAAGCCCGGAGGGTAGCCAGACAGGTAAGGAGCCAGGTTTACCCTGCCTTCAGACACTCTTCTCTCAGCTGCCCTGTGAATCACCATTTGTGCAGGTTTTTATTGGTATTCGGTTTTGACTGGACCTGTATTGACAAATATACATGAAAGATACTGTTGTTCCTGTCCCTCCCAGGGAGGGTGATAGGAAGGGTTCCTCTGATTTTTATTAGGATCTGTGATGTCCTTGGTATAGAGAACACCCTGTACCAAGCTGTGACTTACAGTCTTGGTGTTCTGGGGCTTTGAGAAATTAAGGGACTTACTCAGGGGCTATAGGATCATCCTTTTAAAGCTGGGAGGAATTTTATTGTCTTTGGAGTCCAAGCCCCTTGTTTTATAAATGGGGAAACTGAGGCCCAGAGAGATTAAGTGACTTCTCCAAGGTCTATGAGATCAGAGATTTACAACTGGAAAGGATTTTATTGACCACCAAGTCTAATTCCTTAATTTTATAGATGGGAAAATTGAGGCCCACTGAGGTTAAATGACTTGTCCAGGATCACACATACAATATATGTCACAGGCAGGCTAGCTTTATATCTAATATGCAATAAGACTTCTCTACTTAGGACTTCAAAAACAAAAATGGATGGAACACTTTCCTCTAAGGAATATGAGCCCTTGACATTGTAATACAAGAAAGAGCCCTAGCTCTGGGCCGCCGCATTGGTGGCTGTGCCATCCCACTCCTCCCTGGCTCCCTTCCCCCAGCCTTTATCACTTCTCCATCACTGTGTGCGTGTGTGTGTGTGTGTGTGTGTGTTGTGTGTGTGTGTGTGTGCGCGCGCGCGCGTATGTCTCCCTCCCTGTCCCTTGCTGCTATTAATAGGGCTGTAGGCTTTGGCATTTGGATGACCCCGTAGTGGGTACATTTTTGTCATCTGAGTTGATGACCAGATACACTTCCTTTGCAGCTGGGCTCGCTCACGCAGGCAGATGAACCTACCCCAAGCTACAAGGCTTTCCCCCCCCCCTTCTTTTTTTCTAATAATTGCCTGTTAGGCAGAAAGAGGAGTGCTAGCTGCTTCTTCCAGATCTGTTGTCCTCTTAATTGGGTTTGGAGTAATTAGTCCTTTGACTCCCTTGACACCCAGTGGCATGTTCTCCCACTACAAGGAAGTGCCCAAAGTGGAGGAGGTGATGGAAAAAAAACAGGAGAATGAGCAGCAGGGGCTGGGAGAGTGAATCGACTTCAGTTTGTTAATTCCCCTTCTGCATTTCTTGGGGGAAAAAAATCATGCTTTATGAAATGGATAGGGGTCAGAAAGAAAACATGACCCACTCCTTCCATCTCTCCTTTATTTCCTCCATATCAGTCCATACAAGTCTTCCTATGATCAACAACTCTTAAGCAATAATCATTGATCTAGGATTGGAAGGGAGCTGAGGGAGATCCTCAAGGCCTGAGGAAACAGAGCCAGAGAAATAGGCTCAGGGAGATTCAGTCACTTCCTCAAGGTCATATAACTAGAGTCAGGAGGTGAATTCCAGCACCTCCGATTTCAGTCTGCCGTGCCATGCTGCCTCTCCAGAAAGCAGGGAAGAATGGAGGCCCAATGTTGTTGTCTCCACCCTTACTGAATGTCCAAGCTTTCTATCTAGGGCGTGAAAATGAACACAGATGGACGGTGGTCTTTGGTTTGGAATAACTACCCAGGGCTTTCTGGCTTCTTGCTTTTCTGTCTTCCCTTTAGCTCTCTGAGCATATTTTGCACTTTCAGAGTGTTCCATTAAGACCCAAACCAACAGGTGTTGAGAACCCTTGGAAATGTAACCTTGTCCAAGTTGTGCTAAGTTGAAAGTGTAAGCTAGAGTACTAGATATGCTCGCCTGGATTCTATCCTGTGGCTCCTAGGCGGCAGAGTGGCTTGAGTGCTAGGCTTGGAGTTGGGAAGACTCTAGTTTGAATCCTGACTCAGACTGGACCTCAGTTTTCTCATCTGTAAAATTAAAGGGTTGAACATGATGGTCAGTAAAGTCCCTTCCTGGACACTTATTCATATACTTACTAGCTGAGTAGCTCTTAATCTTTCTCAGCCTCAGTTTCCTCGCCTGTAGAATGAGGGGGCTGTATACCATGGCTTTCAGAGGCTCCTTCCAGCATCCTAGGATGCTTATCTCTGCCAAATCTATCTTTCTTCCTGCTCACCTTCTTTAGGCCTATCTACAGCTGGTCGCTTTCCACCCTGTGAAAGTTTCTGTTGACTTGGCAAAAGGCCTTAGTGTGGCTTTAATGGAGTCCATTTTGTCTCTTAAGTACCTTGCTTTAATCAAGGCAAGGGTGGGATGGAGGGAAGAAGCAAGCCTCTCAGACCAATACGTTCACAGTTTGCTGCAGAGTTGCTGACCCAAGGAAGCTCATTATGTCTGGTCACCTCTGTGAAAGTCACTTAGCCACAAAAGCCTCTTTGGGCCTTCCCCGTGTGTAGGAACTTTGACCCTCTTTGTACTCAAAGGGATGTTTCAGGGACAGAAAGGGGGAAGGGGGTGTATGGAACCACTGAAATGTCTGAAGAGGATGTTTGAGGACAGAAGGGGAAGTGGATTGAGCCACTGAAATGTTGGAGAGCTTGGGTTATACGTACTCTGGGGAAGAGTTGAAGGAACTGGGGATTGGTTAAGGAGGAAAAGAGAAAAACCAAGGAATGATTTAATGGTAATAAAGAGTCATGCTGTGGATAAAGGACGTCACCAGAGAGCCATGTGGCTAGAAAACTCATCACATGGGAACTGTGAGGTGTGACTGGCAGGACTGTCTGTAGGTCTCATTGATATCTCTGTAGTGTTGGGGCATCTTGAGGAAGGCCACTGGCCTGTTTGATGGACTCCCTTGGGAAGGAATTACCTGGAACACAGGGGCAAGAGGTGGCCAGGATGGGCCGAGTGGGTGAGGAGGGAGGGGACACTTAGCTTGAGATCCCAGAGTCTTTGAGCCTTGACATGCCCAGCTGTTCTCCATGACCCTCCCTCCTCCCCAAGGAAATAAAAGCAGTAGGAGATAAGACTTGGACCAAGAGATTCAGCTTGGATTTGAGGGAGAATTTCCCATTCCTGAGGGTTATTCAAACCCAGAACGTGTTCCTAAGGGAGGCTCTGCAGTTCTGTTTTTATAAAGGTCTTTAAAAAGGGAGTAAACAGTTCCTTGCCTGAGATCAGTTAAGTAGGGACCTCTCATTTGCCTTACCAAATTCTCTAGTTGATCTTGATGGATCCTCTGGTCCATCCCCTGGGCCTGTTACGGTGGTATAGAGGATAGGACTCTGAATTTGGAGTCAGAAGACCTGGGTTCAAATCCTGCCTCTGCCCTTTCTAACCTGTGTGACCTTGGCCAAGTCCCTTACCTTCCTTGGGCCTCAGTTTCCTCCTATGTAAAATGAGGGAATTGTACTAGATGACCTCTGAGGTCCCTTCTTGATCTACATCTATGCTCCAGGGGACAATGACACTGATGGTGATGATGATGATGATGATAAGTGTATTACAGTTCACAGTGCACATTCATACTCATGCCCTCACACAGATAGGGTAGGTGTCACCCCCATTTCCCAGGTGGGAAAACTGAGGCCTAAGAGACTGAGTGGCTTGTACAGAGTGTATGTGATCCTGGAGCTGAGGTCTCCTGGCGTTCTTCCTGCTACTCCCAGTTGGGTGGGGGTTCTTAATCATTTATGTGCCATGGACGCCTTTGCCATTCAGGTGAAGCCTCATCCCCTTTGTAGAATAAGGTTTTTACGTACTTGAAGGAAATGCTAAATTTCAGTTAGAAGTTACTGAAAATAAAGGGGTGATTTTTGTTTAATCCATGCAAGTTCACAGACCCCTGAAATCTCTCCATGGCCCCTGGTTAAGAAGTCTGCTTTAATACCTTTTTCTTTCTTGTTTTGTGTCCGTAGGATGGCTACAGTGTTTCCCCACTTTTGCTCACGTATGAGGAGGATTGTTTCCTGCTTTGGGCCTTGTGGCGGGATAGGGCAGGGAACGTGCTGGACAGATCCTGTTGTTTCTTTTTCTTTTTCTGCGAGTGCCCATAAATTCACCTGTCTCAGAGATGGCCAGACTGGCTGACGCCTTCTGTGGAGTGTGACGTTCCTCTCTCCCTGGGCCTCTAGGTTTGCTTTGACTATGGTTGAGGCACAGAGGACTGGACAGGAGTGGGTGCCTGCCAAGTGGGAGACAATGAGCAGAGACAGTGACAGTGATGGGGCCCTTTCCCTCCTCCCCCTTCCCCCTTCTGTGCTGGCAGCAATGATTTGGTGATTACTAAATGTAATTGGAAAGCAAATGAGCCATCTGGCTTAATGAGATGGGTTTCAGGGGGCCAAGGATGACTCACCTTTAACTGGCAGTGAGAGAGATGGAGGGAAATCCTGCCCTGACCTCCTCCTCTCTTGCTTGGAGCAGCTCTCAGGAAAGGAAGACAAATGTTCCTCATGCCCTTCTGTCTCCTTGACTGGCCAGGAAGAGTGTGAGTGATGTCCAGGGCGGAGATGGCTCTGAATGACCTCCTTGCCCTGGGTGCGGGGAGCCTCATTGTCTCCACTTCCTGTCATGGGAGGGTGGCTGAGGAAATTGAAGGCAGCCTGTGCCAGGGGAGGCAGAGGGCATGAATGCCACAATTGATCTTTAGAGGTCTCAGGGCTTTGGCGGGGGGCGGGGCGGCCTTCTGTGCAGGCTCACAGGGCGATGCATCTTCTTTCTGTCTTCTCCTGGCAGATTGGGCATAAGCTTCACTCCAGCACGGCCTGGGCTGGTGCCAAGCTGGCTGCTGGTTTCTTTCTATGCCAGGCTTTCAAGAGTTTCAAGGGTCCTAGAGAACTCACTCCAAATCCAGGTCCACTCAGGACTTTCCTTACCCAGTCTTCTTTCTGCCATGCTTCCAGTTCGTCGCATGCTGACTGACACCTAGTAGGCGCTTATTATTTTTTTTTTTTGCATGAGGCAGTTGGGGTTAAGTGACTTGCCTAGGGTCACACAGCTAGTGA